TGGGAGGGGGGGTATAGCAAATGTAAAAAGGGAAAAAACCGCGAGAAGTCACCAACCGGGGAAAATTTTTCCCAACGCGGTAAAAATTTCTCTCACAGGTACATACGACCCCTCCCCCATCCCAAACAACGACCAAATACCGACCCCCCTCCCAAGTGGTCAATACAACCCCGCTCCCCAGCGGCAAGTACGACTCCTTGTGTTTCACACAACGATGCTGTACCCATGTACTTCTTCTCTGGATATTTTCATATTCGCAAGGTGCTGTGGGGTACAGTCCATGCAGATAGTAGAAGTGAAGACAGCCAACATTGTGTGTTCCTCACCGGTGGGTCGCTGAGATTATCAAGAAGGGCGAACGAACGAGGAAGGCACGATAGGCCCTTCTCCGTTGTTGCTCGCTACCTTTTAAGAAAGGCGTGATTTCTCCCATATGGTCAGCTAGGACTACTGTGAGTTTTAATTGAGATTGTTTTGATATGTATCCATTACAGCGCTGTCGGCCACCCGTACTTCCCACACGACGACGTGGATCAGTCAAAAATACCAAGAACCACTCTCAAGCTGCATTGAGAGACACCTCGACATCCATAGATCATATCATTTTTCGGAATGTGTTTATATTTAATTCAAATAAAGAATAAGACTTTATTTCACGCCTCTCTCGATGTTTGCAACCGTTGAGTACGCAGTCCGTTTCCGGACTCCGCATGCACGAGCCACACCCCTAAACCAAAGGTTAGTGCCGTTTGGACTCCAGAAATTTCGGCACCGAGCTCATTTTTAAATTACCTAAGTCACCAAATCCGCTAAAAACTTGTATATAGGGGTAATTCAACATCCTGATTACGAGTAAGACGCTCATTCTTGGCGCTGGCACCAAGAGAGAACACTACCATTACCTCCTGGGCTCAGCCTTAGCAGAGCGCAGTAATACTACAATCCATTAGCGCGGCGACAAGAGTGAATGTCATATTCATAATCAGGATGTTAAAACTACCCTATGTACAATTTTTGGTGGATTTGGTGACTTACGCCATTTAAAAATGAGCTGGGTGCCGGGTACGGCAGCTGCGGACCTTTTTCACTCGCGCGCTTGGCAAGAATCGTCCTCGAAGGACAGCGCACAGGTTGCCTTCAATGAGTTTATTGCAAAGAGCTGGATCTATTCGCACTGTTCTGGAAACAGTTCGTGATAACAAATAGAAGGCGGAAAAAACGTAATAGGTCTCAAAAATCTGAAGCAGTCCCGAGCAGGAAAGCGAAACAGAACAAGCAAAGATGCGTTGGAAGATCATCACGTGAAGATTTGAAATGTTCAAAAATGTCGCTCCAACTGACAAAACAGAGAATTATCACAGAAATATATCAGCGCTCTCAAAGGAGAGGTGTTCTGGGAACTGGCCTTCATCTCTGCTCATTCCGCGTGAAGACTCCCTTCTTAGACGTTTCATATGGAGCCAGATGGCTGCAGTCACTGCCACCAGTCCTACAAAAGGCGCCAAATATCAACATGTCAATAAAGAAGTTGAAGGGAGTTCACCTACTCGCTTTACTAGGAATTGAGGATTTCTGAAATACTGAGGTGTGGAGAGTTTCCTGCTGATATGTATTTGTCTAAATTGGTCATTGCCTTTATTTATATTCGCTGGATGTTTTCGCCCAACCAATCTCGAGCACTTTGTAGCGCATCTTCGTATATAGTAAATAAATAAATAAAAACTAAATATACCGCAGATGGAAATGTTTCTTTGGAAAATGGCGGTGAGAACGCCCCATCTCTGATGGTGTAACATGGAGTGTAGATGCGTCTCTGCTTCTCTTTCTCCTGGACCCTTGCAGACAAGCCTCCTGTTATTCTCAGATATGGATTAACATGCAGTTAACGACCATTACTGTAGATGTCCAGCTTGAAATTTGTGAAAAGGCACACTTCAACCATATCTACTCGTAAGATCCATTATTTATGGTTGATTGAAACCTATAGGTACATCAACATCACTTTGCCATTATGAGCGATAGCTTTCATAGATATTCTCTTCGTTTACGATTTCATTTCCTCCTTACAACCCGCTCCCCTCCGCCCCCCCCCTCCTGTAAAATACTTCATAGCGGTCAGATCCCCTATTGGATGTTCTCCTTGGGCATCTTGGCATACTATGGACCTAGGACCTTGAAGAACCTAAATACTATCACTCCCTACAGCAGCCTTTTTTACCAATTCCTGTGGGCTCAGTAAGGCATCTTTGCTGGGAAAGACCGCTTTGACTGCGTGCCGGTACACAACTGCTTTCACGCCCACTCGTTCGCAGGGAGAAATGAGTGCAGAACGCGATTACGCGCTGATCTCACACTCCTCGTAATAGAATGACACGCAAAATGATTTACTCTCTGATTTCGTTCCGTTCAGCCCAAATTTCACCTGGTGAAGAAAGTTTCTACATTCAGCAAACTGGTCATGACGAGTAATAGCGAGTGTATATGCTTTTGCCGTAAGCTGAGCTCCTTCTTTCCATTTCAACAATTATTTACCAAGCATAGTCAGCATAACTCCCCATCATCAAGAGAGACCCACCACTGAATATCTGTCAAATGCGTTAATATTGAAAAGAATCTGAGGAAAGAGTGTTCAGCTCTCTCCACACTCTTGTGAAAGCGATCCCTTTCAGTAATCAATTAGTTCGATATCTAACGATTACGGCTGACCAGCTCACCATGTTAAACTTATGAGTGCTGTAAGGCTACGGCATAAAAGCCGTTGGCGCTGAGAGGTAAAAGCGGCCTGGTGACGGATAGCGCACTCGCCAGAAAAGCGGGAGGTGCGGGTTTGAATGCGCCTGGGGTTCAACCTTTGCCTGTAATTCAGCATTCTTGTTATAACATTCGGAATGCAAACTGCGGCGCGAGACAGCAGTTATCATGACAAAACAGCTTCTATGAAACTTTTTTCAACAACATTTATATGTCTGTAGGTTCGCATTCTCAAAAAAAAACAACAGCTCAACAACAACAAAATCAACAAAAAGAGCTTTTTGGCAATGTAACAACAATCAAAATTTCGACCCTGGTCCCTTGACGGTTTGCTAGCAAATGACTCTTGCTATGCGACCAGATTTACAACTTCAAAAGCACGTTTCATGAACATTGCTTTAGAGAGAATGTGCAGACAAGCCACTGAGAAAGTGCTAGAACGGCTACTACTACTTCCATTTCGAATTGTGAGAGTGAGGTGCTAAGGGAAAGAGCTGACATCAAGAGGTGAGAACTCGTCCGACCACTTTCCTTTGCTTTAGGCAACAAGCACGGTTTAACATAAAGTTTCATATGGGCCAACATAAAGTTTCATATGGGGCATTTAAGTTGGGTTTTGAGGGTTTTTTCTTCACTTTTTTGTTATTTACCATCTGGCCAACAGTATCCGAGCCGCACGAATCACCATTTGTGGGAATGCAGGGCGTACCTCTAACAAAGCTACGTGACAGGTAAAAGGCGTTGAAACAGACAAATACGACAAAATACAGCCAATGAGAACAGGCAAATACTCACATCTACACGTTCTTAAGAAAAATCATTCTGAATATGATGCAAAGAAAGATCTTATTTCGATGATTTTCTCACAACACCTTTGAATCACTTTTTTTTGGGCTGTCACATATGCCTATGCTGTCGTGGAATGAGGCTTCATGCATAGGTCTTGATGTTCCTCCTGTAATCTTCAAGCACTGGCTGCACCCATTCGTAATCAATGATTGAAACATCCCTGCAATAGTCGAATTTCGTTATATGCTGCCGTCCAATTGAATTTGGGAAAGACAAATAAGTATAAAAAAGATAAAGGATAAAGTCTCCGTGCCGTTAATCAATCCCTTTTGTGGGATACGGCACGCATTCTACTTCCATTCAGAATCGTAGTGGCTTATTGAATGCGATGTGGCTTATACAATAAATTGCGGGGGCCGGCCAATGTACAAGTCAGTATTTTATCCTCCCAGACGAATCTGGTACCAATTTACCGTCCCCCGGAGGGTAGAAGGCTTGATTGGCCTGGGCGGGAGTCGACCCGGGATTCTAACCCGGGACCGCGCGAGTGGTGAGCGCGCCACTTGTCACTACACCACCTCCGTACGTACAAAGTAAAAATACTGAATGTCGGGAAACCAGATGACAATGCTTCGATAGGGCACATCCTTCCTTCAAGTATCACAGTCGTTTCAAAACGATAGCAGTAAATCCCAGGAATATTGCTGTTAACACAAAAGTTGCCGAGAAAAGGGAAAAATCTGACGAACAGTTGGTATGGTCGCAATCAGTCGGGACGCTTTCAAGAGCGATACACAGACACCACCGACACCTCTTCAGGCACTGGTTGTTTTCTTCCTAAGTCGATCACTAGCCGATCACGATTGGTAGAGCAAGGTAGCCGGAGGCAGACTCCCTCGCCCTCTTCACTCCTCCCCCTGACTGAGGGCCATATTACAGACTACAGGTAGGTCCGCTGGAATCTGCAAGGCGTCGCGAACGCCGCACTCGCAAACACCACGGGGATCGCTACAATTTGGAACCGAAGGCTACTCCCAAAAAGAAAAAACAAAAACATAGTTCTGAAGGGCATTTCCAGCCAGGGGTTTCACTACCTAGGGATTTCGGTTGAGTCCGTACGACCCCCCCCCCCTCTAGTTCTCCCCGGATACGATCGAGCAGTCGACCGAAGGGGAGGGGGAAAATATACCACATGTGAAACGGGAAAAGCGCCCGAAGTCAAACAGGGAAAACTTTCTTACCAACCAACGCCGAATACTTCTCTCACACGACAAATACGACCACGTTCCCTTTCCCAACAACGAGCAATACGACCCTCTCCCCTTCTAGCGTCCCGTGAAATAAGAGAATCAACTATCAAAAAAAGAATTTTTTTTCTCAGATCAAATACGACCTCCCCTGTTAGGGAATCCTCAACGATGTTCTCTCCTGCTTCCAGTAGACATGACCATGAAAACAAACGAAAAGGTTAGACGACCGAAGAACGTACGAGAAAGTGAACAGTCGAATGTAAAGCAACGAAGAAGGAAAAAAGCCTATGTGAGAATGTTCAAGCTTAATTTTGAGACGGGAATCGAAATAGTTGGAAAAAGAAGAAAGTGTTAGTGAAGTCCAAATAGGTTGGTTCAAAGAGATCTTGAAGTTAGATTGGGGAATAACAGCGTGTGGAAAAACCGGTGTATGACTGGCGCAATCAGTCATCAGTTGGACAGCCCCTCCAACACCTTCCACTCAATATGGTCTCCCCAATCAGATTTGATTGTCTGTAGGGAAGATCAGCTGTTCTTGTGAGGCTAATGCCGTTTGGACTCCAGAAATTTCGGCTCCGAGCTCATTTTAAAAGTGGTAAGATCACAAATCCGCTAAAAACTTGTATCTAGGGGTAATTCAACATCCTGATTAGGAGTATGAGACTCATTTTTGGCGCTGGCATCGAGAGAGGACACTACGATTACCTTCTAGGCTCAGCCATAGCAGAGCGCAGGTAACCGTAGTGTCATCCATTAGCGCCAGCGCTAAAATGAATATCATACTCGTGATCAGGATGTTGAATTACCCCTATATACAAGTTTTTAGCGATTTGGTGATCTTACCACTTTTTAAAATGAGCTCGGAGCCGAAATTTCTGGAGTCAAACGGCATTAGACTCACGTTTGGGCCGGAACGTAAATCACAAAATTACACCATACCTGGCAAATAAGTCTGAAGTTCGCATTAGATCCGTGAAAACAATGTACCGAGGACGGGACTGAAACAGAGCATTACTACTGCGGGTCACGATTACGATGAACTTCTACAGCTCATGTCTCACAGCTTGACTTACACGGCAAAGCCTTGATGAAGGATGAATCTTCAGAGTTGTACTGGGTTTCACCAGCAATCGATAACGATCTTCTTGGCGATCGTATTCACAAACATTCATGAACAAACCACATGCCAGCGCTTGCCTTGAAAAATAAGTACCTGCTCGTAGAATTCGTTAAGGACCGAACCATTACGAAATAAAAGCCTGTAATGCAAACGCGAAGTTTACCGTAGTTTTTCTCGTTGCGCACCACATGAAGTTATCTTCATGCCACATTCCATTGCAATATCACGCAACTGTTTACGCACTTTTAGTACCATCATGAGGTTCTTGAAATTCAGATAGTTGTTGCTACACCATTCCTGTAACAGGTTTCAAATAAATTCCGAGATAAAAAACCGAAAATAGAGAAGTTCAAAGCTACGTGGTCTTAAAACTATGCTTAGGAGCACTCCGTTATAGCAAGACCATTCCTACACTTGCTCGAAAAAAACTTCAACACTACCTTCAAATGAGCAGAATTCTTCTGTTTTTCTTGTTTGAATGCTTGAATCGCGTTCATCACAGTAAGGTGGTCACTCACGTTGGTGGCAAATCTGATGAAGACATTTATGCAAACAAAGTTAAGTGAATTTTTTTCCAAACTAAAGTACTACAGCTTTTTTCCCCTTCTGAAGTTTGAAAATCTAACACAAAACGTAATCTAGTATGTAATCCATTCCCTTCCACCTACTACCTTATCACAATTCAAACAATTCGAGCGGCTTTAATCACTGGAACACTGGATTAAGATGCCAACGCATAGACAGTGAAGAAGTAGCTCTTTTAGCAGAAAACAAGTCAGGGTTAATCAACAACTTCTTTCAGATGAACTCGACTCACGGGATCAGACAACTATAGCGCGCAGGGTCTGGGAACTAACTGCTCTCTAGGACAACAGCACTTTCCGGCAGCGTAGCGGTCAGTTGTTACCAAACCGATCTAGAATGAAGACACCGACTTTGGTTGGCTCCAAGAATTTAACGATTCGTTGGAAAAAAGTCCATGCAACACGTGGAAGGCAATTTCGAACTGGATATTCCTTTACCTTTCGAGAACATCACTCAACAGAACTACTTTAGTTATCTTATCTGGGAGAAGTGTCCATCTGAAGGGCCGCTTCTTAATTCTGTTCATGACGCTGACAGTCGTGAAATATGAACATTCGGACTCCTTGGGCGAATTCATATTCGACGTCAACGAATTCACACGCCATCCATTTGCGTAACGGATTGCGCACTCGCCAGGAAAGCGTGAGGTGTGGGTTCGACTCCCGTTTGGAGTTCGACTTTTGCCCGTGAGCCAGCATTCTTGAGATAACTTTCGGAACGCGAACTGCGGCGTAAAACAGCAGTTATCATTACAAACAGCTGCAGACAGCCTTTCTCCTTAAAAGATCCATGAATGTGGTTTGTAACCAAGGTCGTTACCACCAGCTGTGCTCACCAAGTTCCTCCCTTGTGCAAGATGAAGATCCGCACCAGCATTCTCCGAAGGATGGCACTACTTATGAGGTATCCATCTCAAATATTGTTCCTGATAACCCAAACTGTGGGTATACAGTGGGATAAATGCAGCCTGAAGTTGGGGGTCAATTCACGGGTGGTTGAGTAGGGCTATACGTCTACGGCGTCAAGCATGGCGAATCTCTGGTGTGAATGCGAGGATTCTGTGCGTTTTTCAATGGCTAATGGACTAATATATAATAGATAATTATTTGGAGCCAGAATATAATGATTCGAATACTGTGTATGGAACTCACCGCGCTCTCATGCGATCAACATCGTTAAGGTCAGCATACCCGTCTAGGTCAAAAATAGTCTCACAGGACATAGAAGCTATAATAGTCAACGCTTCTTCCATGCAAAACAGATCATTAGCAATCATAAGTACCCTGAAATAAATGAAAATGCTTTATTCATCTTATCAAACAGCTCTTTTTGCAAGAAACCGGGTCACTCAAACACATTATTTCGGAAAAACGCAGTGATTAAGAGAGAAAAAAGTTGAAGATCCACCTCGCATGATCCGGAGACAAGGGAAATTTACAAAGTGTACGTCCAGTGGGTGTCAGTATCATATTTTTTCCATCAATGGTAGCAGCGCCGAGTGCCTGAATTCGATTTCAGTAGTAATGGAAAGATGTAAATGTGCGACAGTTGAAATAGTAACAAAAGGTACCAAAGTAATTTCTTTGATTGGATTGGGAACAAACGCAACTTTACCGCAAACTCCGCTCACCTTTTTCTTGTATGCTTGGTAAAAAAGCAAAAATCCAAACGTTTATTTCGGAAAAAAACTCAAAAGGTAAAAAAGTTTCGAAAAAATTATTGATACTTTTGTATCTTTTAGATTCTTTGACAGAGGCTTCCGAAATTCACCGTTGCTGTTGAAGATTCAGATACTATGAGCCTTTATTAGTGCACAATAGTTCGCACTGCGCTGAGGTGTAATAGGGGTATGCGTGATGGTATCGTGGGAAGTGAAGGGTTTGTTCGCGTCCAGCGATAAACAATAAGGGTCAAGTACAAATCTGAGGATTAAACTAGGCACGATTTTATTCCAGGGAATCAGTTCCACATAATCACTTCTATGCTGATGAAAGAAAATCGAATCAACTATAAACAAACCAGCAGTTCTCTTTCAGCTGCCATCATGCTTTCTTCGTCGGGCTGTTGGATAAGCTTTAATTTCCGAGGTCGTCGGAGACCAAGTGCTAACATTTCCAACAGAACCTGGAGGAAATACCCTTTGAATGAAGGTAAATATTCTATACTACGATCTGAGCAGCACAAAACAGAAAGGAACACAGCTACGTCACTATTTTCAACACCTACCGATGATAAGTTGCTCCGCAGAATTTCTGGAGTACTTGTATCCTTGAGCTTCTCATAATGCCGAAGTGGATAAAGTCTGGAACATGGGATCTCTAGTGCTTATGTTCGAATTTCTAATAAAGATCGTTGAACAGACGTACAAAAAAAGTACAAAATTAAGGTAACGTTTACCGATAACACTTTCCCGGAGCCTCACGCCCAGCACGTCCTGCTCTTTGAAGTGCTTGCGCTTTGCTTATGTCGTGCACTCTCAGAACATCTATGCGATCAGCAGCAGTGAAAGACCTTAAATTTAGACCTATCAAAGAAAAACCTGGAGAACATCAGCGAGGTGGAGCAAAGAACTTCGTATGCGGATGCGGATGATCAGAAAAAAAAGCTTGTTTGTAGAAAATAAAAATAAAAGCTTCAAGCGTTAAGCAATCAGTTCCAAGAATACGATACACTTTTCACGAGCATTCGATCACTAGAGACATCTAGAATGCGATATAGCCTAGAAGGTGACCTAGAGAGGTCAGATAATCTCCGGCTGAATCTGGCTCTAATTTACATGCCCCTAGGGGGAATGCTTGGTTGGCCAGGGTGGAAATTGTTTCGGCATCCCACCCCCGAACATCATGCGCGATAAGCAATGTCACGTGCCAGTACACCTGTTACGCCCTAAATCATGAACTTATAGCGATATAGTCGCTGTTACCAAGACTGCAACGATGGCCACTTGGAAGTGGAAGTGTGAAAATGATCAAAATAAGAACGTGAATACGTACTTAGATACCAGTGGGTGAGATCTTACCTTGTTTTGACTTTTCCCGAATCAATAACTACACGTATTCCTGGGATGGTAAGCGATGTTTCTGCAATATTGGTGGCCAACACGACTTTTCGATGACCCTGAATAGTGCACAGAAAATAATTAGCGCAACAAACACTTCACTAAAAAGTTATTCATGTGCTGTGTCGCTCAACCCGCAAACGGGACACCACTCCTAAGGAGCTTCTACGTAACAGGGGGCAGCATTTGTGAACTTCTGCCAGCACATCAATCCCTCCTTAATTACATGCAAGCTGCAGTAAGGCTACAAAAGACACGAACTCATTTCTTGTTTGATATGCTGGCAGAAACGAGACCTCAAAAAAGAGAACTGTCTACACCGTTGATAGATCCCATTATGTTATGCGGCACGCATTCCGCTCCCGTTTAGAATGGCTGTGGTTTACTAAATACAATGTGGAATATACGTGACTTCCGACAGTCAGCCAAATGGGATGCGTCACAAATTTAAATCCATTCCACGAATTGTGAACATTCAAACGATGTGGCTTACATTAGGTTGTCCGGAAAGTTCTCGGCGTTTTGGGTGTTTCACTTTAAACGATCGTAACTTTTTAATACTCATCGGATTTAATCGATATAGGCACCATTCGAATCAGCACACTTTTGCCAATGTGCTAGCAGTCGAGAAAACCCATCAAAGTGAAAAACTGGGTGGTCGAAAATTAACGAAATCCACTAAGGCTTTTTTGCCTGGTCCTGATTGATAAAGTATTTTCCAGCAATTGAGTTCTGAAAATGTTAGAAAAAGGTGATAGTCGGTTGGCGAAAGGTCTGAAGAATATGGCGGTTGAGGTAGAACTTCAACCCCCAATTCGTTCAATTTATGGACAGTGATTTGTGAAACATGTGGGCGGGCGTTGTCATGCAAAGGAATCGACCCTTTCTTTTGATAAGTGTTGGGTGCATCTGACAAAAATTTTCGGTACAATTTGTCGATTTCTTAACAGTAGGGTTCTGCTGTGATGGTTTGGCCTGGTGATAAAAAGTTATAGTGGATCACACCAGCCGATCACCACCAAGCCGTGACCAGAATCTTTTTTCGTGAGGGTTCGGCATTAAAAATTACCTCGGTGGTCCGTCGAAATTCAACCACTGTCCGGAACGTTTCCTGTTATCATATATGACCCATTGTTCATCACAGGTGGAATTCGGCCCAAAAAAAGGTCGTTTCTGCTGCGCAAAAGCAATGCAGAAGGAACCTCGAGACGTGCCGATTCCTGCCGGTCACTCCGATTGTGGGGACCCAATTGCGATGTTTGTTTTTCACCATCCAATGCGTTCCGGACCATCTGCACCGTGGATTTGCCAAGGCTTAACTCTTCTGGTATCTCTCGAACTGTTTGGGATGGGTCAGCTCCCAAATCCCCCCAAATCCTCGTCAGATATTGCTTTAGGTCGACTATGAGGTTCACTTCAGATTGAAATCTCCAGAACGAAATTGTTGAGCCATTGCCGCCCAGTGCTTTCTCTAGCGCTATTGGGCCCTGACACCTGGTTAATTTGTCGAGCTGTTTCGATTGCGGAGTGCCCCAATTTATAGTCGAAGAAAAATCGTCCAAAGTGCTCTTTTCACATGCTTGAAAAAATCTTGAAAAAAGGGGGTTTATCGAGCAATGGTGAAACGGCAATTACACCATCAGATAGCGCAAGAAATTCTCTACAGGATATGCTACTGAGAAGCAAGGCAGAATGAGTTTTTAATCAGCAGTGAATGTACAAAAAATAGGTGCACAAAACGCTGACTTTCCGGACAACCTAATACAATGATCAGTGGTAAATGGCCTCTGGTAAGGACGTTCGCACTCCGAGATCGACCTTATATAAGTTACCGACTGACATGAAACCGCAGGCATAGCGTTGGGAACAGGGACCGCAAAATGTAGGAGCACTTCGTTCCAAAGTATAAAAACTATGTTCTCTGGATTTACGAAAAATTCTTGTTCCTCTCACAAGTGTTCTTCTCATCTTTCCAGAGTTGAAGGCAGTTGGCACGATAAGTCCCCAAGACGAGTAGGATTAACCCGGCAGGACCGAATCCCGCGCCCCTGAGCAGTTGTTGCGTAGCGCTTTTCCAAGGCAGGATATCTACCGCGCCCGTTCGCCCACAAATAGACGACCATACCTGTTGCTCGTATTGCATCATTTGCGGAATAAAATATGAAGCGCATGGACTGACATGAAGCGGCTGCACTGCTGCGTGGTACTCACGTTCAGCCGTATCTACCGTAACGGTTGTTGGTAAGATGCCTATGGAAAACTCGTCCGGAATTCTCTTTAGTCATTAGAACGAAGCCTTTTCTTCTCAGCTTTTTGTTTCTCCACTACATAGCAACCTGCTAGCACTTTAAACCGAGTACTAAATTATCTTGCCATATGCCTTTGAACGCAAAAAAAAGAGAAAAAGGGCAAAGAGACTGGATTTACGACGTAACTCAAGACCTTACAGAAGACAAAATTGCCCAGTTTTTTGGGAGAAATTCCCAAAACCCCACCCCGCCTCCCTAGCGAACTGGCTACTATAACCATAAAAGCGCCTAGAATTTCACGATTTTCGAGATGAATGAATACAGTAGAAGTTCTAATAAATACAATGCCAAAATAAAACTGCTACACCCTTGCACTTCAAGCAAAAAATGCAAAGAATAACGGCATTCTACTATAGATAGAATATGAAATAAACAAAAGTATTCAGCGTTCTGACAAACCTCCGGTGGTGGATCGAACGCCTTCATTTGAGCAACACTGCTCATCGCTGCAAACAGGGGAACAGGATAGATTGGAGAGGTGAAGTGCTCACTCAGCTCTTTCAGTTTTCTTACTGCACACATGATCTCTTCACGACCAGTCAAGAAGACAAGAAAGTGATCACTAAAATAAAACAGCGAGAGTAGGAGTCACTGCAAAAAAAGTAACCGAAGTAGCAAGAACCCATTTTGAAAAATCGTCAAATTCATTAGGAATTTTCGGACCACTGTCACACCTAACTGAGATAAGCTACCTTATAGGTTCTTCTTGATGTAAGTCTTTGATGCAAACAAGAGCATTGAAGACGTAGTCTGCATTCTCGGGATTGAGCTCAGCGTGAAAGACCTAGAAAAAGAAAGTTTTTTACGAACTGCTACGTACGTTCTTCACTGAATATGTATGGTAAATCAAGCGAACCTCGACAGGGAAAGCTCGACCTTTGATAACAAAAACGGGAGCATCATTGAAGTAACTAGAGAAGAGTTTAGCTTCGAGCGTAGCGGACATTATGACTATACGAAGGGGAAGCATGCCTGATTCTTTACGTTGCCGCTGGCACAACCGCAACACGTCTGGAAGTAACATCTCCTAATTCAGTCACTAAGAGAATTCAACAAGCAGAAAAAGAAAAAGGCTAAGCCGCACAAGAAGATAATACAGCTTAGAAGTCTTACTCAATAAAATATCAGTATGAAGACTACGCTCATGAGCTTCATCGACGAGTATAGTACTGTATTCTCTCAGCAAAGGATCATGAATGGCTTCTCGTAGTAAAATACCATCAGTCAAGAAAACAATTTCCGTTTCCTCTGACATCTCCTTTTCGAATCTGACATGGTACCCAACCTAAAGGTATAAGGAATTATAGCGAAGGAGTTGTGTGAGCACTTTATCATAATCTATTCGACTTAAATTAGATACCATGCTGGTCCCAAAAAAAGTGGGGAGTGGCAAACTGATGTAGAAGCCATTCTGTCATACTGTCTTTTCTTTGTTAGTTGCTAATAGGCCGACACGTAAGGCTGCGTTCATACTTTGCGTCCGCGTATTCCGCCAGCGTTTTACTCAAGCTCGAAGTACCCGCGAAAACGCTGCCGTACGCTAGGTCGACATCCGTACCTTTCTAGTCGCACGAACGCTGCTGCAGTACAGTGGATTAATACCTATAATTTCCTGGTCGCTGGCGCTGGCGTACGGCCGTACACTGGCGCAGAGTATGAATGCAGCCTAATGAACACGTAGCGATAGACATGGTTGTCCATCGCGAGCCCGACCGAACACCCCAACCTAAAATTTGATTCAGGACCGCGCAAACCGTGGATTTGCACCGCCTTGTCCGGATAAGGAAAAATAGGTCAAAGAAGTGCCAAAGAATCAATAAGAAAGCTGCTTCCGCAATTCATAGATGAAAGTCAAGAAACCATACCTTCCGTCCCAAAGGCGAATCGACTTCCATAGATACTCGATTGGCAAGCGAAACGGCCGCTAGTCGTCGCGGTTGAGTTATACCAACTCTCCCTTTCTTAGCCAACCCAATTCGGACGCAAAACTAGAAATAAACAATTGGTAAAAATTGGCTGAAATTCACAAAAGAACTGCTTGTCAGGGACCAGAGAGGTAGTGATAACGAAGACGGATACAGGACTTGCTTACCAACACCACCCAGCCAAGTAACTAAGAAAGGGCCCAGTTGTGCTCATGCATACCACACCTAAAATCTCTAACAGGGTTGAAGAACAATTGTTTACTCACACTAATGGATCCTGGTCATTGATGTGCGTGGGTGAATGGGTCCTCAGCTGTTGTAGCGTGCCCATTTCTCCGGCTATAACGGCACCGGAACGGGCAGAAGGGTACTCAAAGTCAGCCATACTCCTAACCATAGCCAAACGTACCGCCTGTCCGCGTCCACTCACTGCTGGTTGTTTTCTACCTTTGACCGCGTGTTCGCTGGGGATTTTGGTGTCTACGCAAGTGCCGCACATTAATAAAAGAAGTCTGGAGCGTCACCCAGGTATCCCTCCAGTCCCGCTCTCGGATGTGAGCGGAGAAAGTAACCTGATACTGCAGCTGCGGATCCACTTGCCACACGTGGCAAGAATCGTCTTCGGAGGTAAGTGTACAAATTATTTTCCAAGGCTTAAGAGTACAACAGGCCCGTAAAACAAATACAAAATAAAACACAACTGTAATCTTCAACCAGGGCTTCGCCGAATGGGATAGAAAATTTGAATAGACTTCAATTAGCAGAGCCACCACATACCTGCGGAACTTGTGTACTCTTTCCGCAACCCGTTTCTCCAATAAGAACAACTGTTTCATGGCTGTTGAGAGCCTCCATAATTTGAAACTCCACATCATGAATAGGCAAACGGGGAGCGACAAATCCGTGCTGAAAGATAAGCACATGTAAAGATGAACCCTAAAGCTTCAGCTTCTTAACAGAAAAAAATATGAAAACAAAAAGCAAACCTCACGTGCTCTCTTCTCTGGTGGCAGCTCTTTTCTAAGTATTGACGCTGAACGATTTATATCTCAAAAAATCTGGAACAGTGTAGGCCAGGATGGACCTTAACATGCCACAAACCTGGACGCCTCCGCTTCTTCTTCATTTTTGGCACCAACATATTATTCAATAACTAGATGATGAATGACTTTGCCCGTTCATACGAAGAAGCTCTGCAGATCAAATGAATCACAGCTAATTCTAAATAATTTGAAATGAACATGTACATTTGAAATGAAGAAACACATTCCTGCATAAATTACGGTGAACAACATTTCAGTGTAATTGCGACGAAGCTTCAGTAAAATACGACGGGCTGGTTCTAACGATGCTGCAATGCTGAGTGATTGTATTCCTCTTTGCAAAATTATCCTTTCGGTGATTTGACTAGGGTAAGATCATTGTATAATTGTTTATTCAAGGGCAACAGGTTGTCCATGTACGATGTACGGCAAGATAAAGTTCAGTTTCATTTGTTTTTGTCTCCGCTTTCGTTTACTGACACGTGTATTAAGCCGGTATTGCCTCATTGATGACGTGCTTGAACGCATTTTACGATCTGATTGTTAAATAAGGAGTGTATTGAACTTTGTAGGTGTTTCTCACTATGGGCACGCGTGGAAAACAACCCTATCGCGGTGGTAGGCCAATCCATCAAAACAGGCATCCGTCACACAGGGTGAGTGTTATGCGGCTTTGTAGAACTGTATTTAGGTGTAATTTCATGTTTAGGACATGAATATATAGTAACATCGCCTTAGGCTTGTATACCATTTTCACTTCATACCCTTTTTCAAACCAAATTTACCCTTTTTCAAACCAAATTGATCCCTTTTCAAATCGAATTCATCCTCACTTTTCGAATCAAATTAACCACACTTATAAGGCCGGGCAACTCATCAACCAGATCACGCCTGACACCACTGCGAGCCCCGCCCCGACGGCCACGCCTGCTTGTCAGCGCGGACATAGATTTTCAAATCTTGTTTCATAACTTCTGCTTTTGCTGTTTCCCACAAACACTTTGACTAAAAACGACCGAGCATTGAGCTTACCTATCAAATCGTAGAAATTGAACCCTGTGCAGTTTCCTCACAATAAAATTACAAGACCATTCACCTCACCAGCTTTCTTCACATTCCCATTTGAAGTCCATCTGTTTCTCGCTATAGATATGATAGTAACCATCTGTATGCTGGTTCAAACTTATTCCCGGCGTCTCTTTTTTGCTTTATTCTCATTGGGCTGCTATTATAGTTTCACGTTTCAACTATACCCGGAACATCTATCTCGCCGAGGAAGGAGCAGAAGAGCAGATGAGTCATCGCTCGCCGCAAGCCGCGTGGTCCCCTCCCCCACCCCCCTCCCAATTACGTTAGCACCAGGTGAGGTGTTCCCCTCGCACCGTTTTTGATCTTAAGCAGCGTCCGCGTTCAGCTGAGATTTACCTCGCCCTTCGTGAGGAGGTAATTAGGGCAGCAGAGGCAACAACTACACCACTTTCGCGGCCCAAAAACAAGTGAGGAGGCCCACGATGCCGTCGTTATTATCATTGGCCCAACCTACTATCACTGGCACCGCCCTCCACTATTCCTAATGGGTATCTGATTGTGCGGTTGTTTTGCTGCTGCTTCTCTCCACGTCGAGTGGTGAGAGTGAGGTGATAAAGGAAAAACAGCTGGTATCAACGAGTGAGAACTCGTGCGACCGCACCTTCTTTTCGCCTTGAGCACGTACAACCTCATTCAAACAAGTGTTTTTATATAGAGCCTTTCCTATGATTTCTTTCTGATTTTTCTTTACTGAAAGATTACTTGCTACCCTGTTAAAAGTATTTGAGCCGCATAAGTCATCAAATTTGAATGCGGGCTCAGCCTTCAATCAAAAATTCGGTGCTTGTGTTGTAAGGAGCAACAGTTCGGTGCAAATCACTCAAGGCGTTTGGATGCACGGCAAACACTTTGAATGGCCGTGTATAAGGTTGTAGGCTTTACTTTACTTTATTAGCATCGGCAATAAGATAAACAGTGAAAAACAAAATATGCTAAGGAGAGGAACACAGATTCCGATAACTGCATCAAGAGACAGGGGAAGTGGTTTGGGGTGCGACAGGGAGGGGCAGATTTTGCAAATCAGAAGGACAGTGGCCGCCCAACACTGTAAGTTCGATGGCGGACGTAATTCCAGCTCCGGATACCATCTTAGTAGGTCCGCCAACCTCGCTGCGGCCCGGCTCCCATTGTCGCTCGAGCAGGGAAGGGGGGGGGGGAAGATAACACAATAAGAAAAACAAAACGCGCAAACTCGTAATGAGGCTAAAAAAAGCTATGATAAAAAGAAACAGCCGTAACAAAAGTTGACGCTAGATGCGAATGATACCAAGACAAAACACTACACTGTAAGTCAGTCATGGACGGAGACATCTCGTATCAATATAGACGAGAAAACATGAGGAAGGACATAAGAGAGAGAGAGAGAGAGGAAGAAAGCAAAAAATATAACGCATGGATGAAAGGGGGGACCTAGGAAGGGGGGGGGAGACCAGTCTACATTGCTGCATAACAACCAGTATGAGGGGAAAACACAGTCAGTCTGAGCTATTACAATCAGTCTCAGAAAAACACAACCAGCTGAGATAACCATAATCAGCCTGAGAATTTGCAAACCGCCTGAGAAACCAAGAGAAGATCGCATGAGAAGACAACTCATTTCTACAGGCCCAAGACAACGGGACTTGAGTTGAGGCAATCCGGGATACCAGGCTCAGGTCTGCACTCTCGACCACAAGTTCGATTATTGCTAGCAGGAACTATGTTGCAAAAATTGAAAAGGGGTGCCTGTACCAGCATCAGGCCATGGTTGACAGATCGGCTGAACTTAAACACTGTAGATATGAGAAAGTCGGAATCAGTGATAATGTTAGGACGTCAAGCATAGGTAGCTCGCAGAATTTTCGCCCTGGTTCAGTGGCTAGTATGCGAGGGCTGTAGAATGGTGAGACCCCGGCTAAGGAGGCTAGTTCGAATTGAGATCCTGAAAGTGGAATCTCCAATCGGAAAGTCTCACGGGGTTTCTGGCCTAATGTAACATACAGGTCCCATGCCCTCTGACTTCTGACGAGGACTAAGGGAGGGGGCATAGGTGTCAGGGTTGCTCGAAAGGGGGGGGTACTGGACAATTCTAACCTTGTTGACCTCGTACGGACCAAACCCGCTTTCCCTGAAGGTGAAGAATGGAATCTATTCAACCCTAGACGGGCCGTCAGATGGATTCTTGAGATCGTTTATCTGAACTGGAAGTTACAGAAGAAACCTAGAGGGTGCGTGGAAACAAACCTAGAAATAGTCAGAGCTGGCAGCCACCCACGACCTAGCAGTCTGCTGCATCCTCTTTGACGGGTGCTGGACCATATGCAGGGATCATGAAAGGCAGCTCCACTCACTGGAATGGGGATGGTGACAATGAGGACGCGCCTGCGGCTGGACCTGACTAGACAGGGTAAGGAACGAGGACGTTAGGATGATCACACAGATCGCACTGATCGGGAGACATGCAACAGAATCGTCCGGGGCAGCGCCCGCGACTCACACATGTGGCTCAGCAGCTCACATGCATTTGCTAGCCAATAGCTTTGCGACTGTAGCAGATGATTTACTACAGCGTACATCCGCAACATTTAGCAGATTTCATCAATGATTGAAAATCTAGTGATGCTTTTCTTGATAGTCACACACAATCGTTTGGCGGTTCCATAAACCTAACTTCAGGAAATAAACAGATACAAAAGAAATCAGATGAGGCCGTGATTCTCCCTATGTTATGTGGTTCACGTAATTTGCGCAGTAGCCAGCGTCAATATACTAGGTTGTCGCATAAGTTCTTATACACGATTTTTTCCTAAATAACTCAATAGCGAACCAACCTGAAGATTAGAGGTATGCATCATCACCATCCACTACTCGACGCCAGCGCTCAGGCAGCTTGTCGATTCCTTTCTTCCAGAACGACGGGAGCTGGGACTTGAAGAAGTCGTCGAGTGCCTTTCTGACCTGATCCTTTGTTTCGAACTTTTTCCGTCCAGAGAGCGCTGCAGGTGGCTGAACAGGCAGTAGTCAGAAGGAGCGAGGTCAGGGCTGTAGGGAGGGTGGGCGACCATCGGCCATCCATACTTCTCCAGCTGGCCTGAGTCGCCTTGGCAGTGTGAGGTGGCGTTGTCATGGTGGAAGTAGATTTCCTTCCACGAGTACGGTCGTCGTGATCTTTCAATTGCCACAGCTGGGTCACGTATGTGGAAGCATCAATCGTCTGTCCTTTCCCCAGCAGCGCCAGAACTCCATGCCTCTTCTGGACCACCAACAGAATAGGGAAACCATTTTGGTGTGAAGGTCGGCCTTTGAGGTGGCTTCTAGCTTCTCCTTTGTCGACCCACTCCTGCTCCCTCACAGGGTTATCGCAGAGGACCCAGCGACTGCGATGGTATGACCACGTGCTAGAGGTCCTCGGGCCTCTAGCACGTGGTCATACCATCGCAGTCGCTGCTCTCGTGCCTGCAGCTAGATCAGTGCGGGTGTGTAGCAACAGAGTGTCCGGTGCAGCTGGTGGGTGCTGCGACATACTTGTGGCGAAAAGACGATGCGTGCTTCCGGCAGTTTGAATAGGCTATTGAAGGGAAGGTAAATATTGATGTCACCCAGGATCGAGTGTTGTGTTCAGTTACGATCAATTTTTCAGTTAGAATATGAAAAAGTTCAATAGAGCACGAGAGTCTTGGGGTCTTTGATGTTTGCTCTGGTTTGACATCTTTTACAGCAGCTCACAGAATAAATTGGCCATCCGTCTATTATTACGTTGTCGCATAAGTTCTTATACACGTGTTTAATCCTCTCCTATTTCGTTCGCATGGATGTTGGTACTACGTCATCACGTGTGCGTGACATGTACATTTCTTTCATTACACTAGCTATCACTCACCAGCTTGCATTTGCAGTACACAATGTCGCACAATTACCTGTGACAGAATGTACCTGCGCCACTGCCTGGTTTTGCTTAACGATTCAAAAAGAAGCTTCGCGTTCTCAACTCGATGATCACTGGAGATGAGAAGTAGGGAAAGGATCTACA